ATTAAGTAACCAACCTTGTGGGTGAGAGTCGACAGGGGAATATCCCTGATGGGTCCAAAAAGCAGTTTTTGAAACACCCACAGAACCAGGTTGAGATCCCATATAATCACTGGAATGTGTACAGTTGGGACTTAATAAGCAACACCTTGTAAAAAGGCATTTATCAAGGAATGAGTGGCAAGCGGTCTTTGGAACAAGATCTCAGAAGCCCAGATTTGCCCCTTGATAGTTCTCAGAGCCAAATGTTAATCTAGACGAAATTGTAGAGAGGTCAGGATCTGTCCCACTGATTATTTTCTGGGATAAAATTTTCTTGCATAACACCAAGCACAGTATGCCTTTTAAGTGCGACCGTAGACCTTGTGTGACATGGATTTCCTCATTTTAGGAGCGTAGGAATTGCCAAGTCAGAAAGGCCCCTATCTCTTAGGACCTGGGCTTCAACAGCCATGCCATCAAAACCAGCAACCATAAAGCAGGGTGGTAAACTGGGCCTTTGGACAGAGACATCTGGATGATCTGGAAGAGCCCATTGAGCATGCACATAGTGTAATGAGGTCGGGGCACCATATTCTACTGGACCAGTTTGGTGCCATTAGAACCACCAGAATGCCCCCCTACCTTAATCCTGCAGAGAAGACACGGCATAAATGTTAGAGGATAAACATAGATCAGATTAAAACTTTTCCAGCTGGGCCACAAGAGCATAATAAAAACTTTGTCAGTTTGTTGTTGATCTGATCTAAATCCAGCATCCCCCACTGGCAGCAGGGGTCCTGAAACACCTCTAGGTGAAGAGTTTCCTCCCTTATGTCCAGATGCTGCCAGCTCAGTAAGTCTACCTGCCAATTGTCCAATCCTGTTATGTATATAGCAGACCAGGCTGGAAACTGAAGTTCTGCCAAAGACAGAATCTTTTCCACTTTTCTTTTGACTGCGAGACCTTTGCTTCTTCCTAATGGTTGATTCATACTACCCCAGTAGCGTTGTCTTACCGGATTCTGATCAGATGGTCTTTCAGTCAAGGGCTCCAGCACTGTAGGAATACCCAGTTTGCTCGGAGCTCCAGGATGTTGATGGGAAGAAAAGCTTCGTCTAGCATCCAAGTCCCGTTCACTAAATGGGTGTCTAGGACTTCTTTTCTCTCCAGCCTGTCAGTTTGGTATTCATCATGGGAATCTTCCAGGACAAAGGAAGACAGGATTTTCATGACTCCGAAGTTGGATCCTGAGCCACCAGGCCAGGGATAACCTGGACTTGGGTAAAAGGTGCATTGGTTGGTCGTGAGACTGTACCTTCTTGTCCCACGTAGCTAGAATTTTGTGTTGCAATTGTCTGGACTAGGATTGGGCAAATAGCCCAAAGGAGGCTACCTGTTGGTTATGTGTTTAGATGAAGCACTGAGATGTTGAGAAATGCTGAATCAAGTTTTACTTGCTTAGAAGAACGTTGCATACATGTATATAAAAATGCATCATCAAACAGAAAACATATAAATCATAGAGAAGAAAACATATACACAGAGAACATCCTGTGTATCACAGATAGAAGCAGGCATGTAGCGAAACTAGCATTGACTAGACTTGCACTACAGTGCCATCTAGTACTCAAAAGACAATATTGCATCTCTGAATGTCAGGAAAACAAATCAGTATGCTGTTGCATTTCCAACACTACCAACAGGCCCAGGACTCTCATGCAGAAATGGGGAGTGGGAAAGCTCCTAGACTGTAGAGTCTGAATCTTGGAGCAGAGACTCTGGAGTTTGATTTAAGGAAGAAACCCCTTAAACTAATAATTGTCCAGGATGAGACCTAGATACTCAAAGTTATGTATCTGAACAGTCCTTAGATATTGTCTGACAGAGTATGTGCAAACTGTTCTCACAACAGGAGCCGGTCTAGGTATGCCACTGTGGGGATGCCCAGGGAGTGCAAGAACCCTAGCACAGGTGCTACTATAATTAGCAATAAAGGTCTGCACACCTCTATTATCTTATCTATTTGGCAACCAACAATGAGAAATTATTAGGGTGCTTAACCCCCTAAAGTAAAGTAAGCACACCACATGCAAATAATTATTTTGCAATAAAATTGTATTCAGTCTAAAAGCGCTATAATATAATAGGTACAAATATGCAAGTATGTCATATCCCATCAGGCATAATACAGCAAAAGTATGTGCTACACTGTTAATATTAATCTATATCCAAATAATATATGCATGTACAAATGTAAGATGAGCACCACTTATTAATGAAGAGAGGAAACTCCCCTTCTCCGGGACTTCCTGCAAAAGTGTTGAATTAAATGTGAAGGGGGCACTGAGGGAGACTCTGCTGTGAAGCTGTGCAGGGGGGACTGAGGGGGACTCTGCTGTGAAGGGGGGACTGAGGGGGACTCTGCTATGGGGGGGGCTCTAATGAGAAGGGAGGCTTCTGATTTGAAGGGGGACTCTGATGTGAAATGGGGGCATCTGATTTGAAGGGGTGCTCCTGGTGTGAAGGAGAGACTCTAATGTGAAGGGGGTTCCTGATGTGAAGTGGGCAGCTTCTGATATGAAGGGAAGTCATCTGATTTGAAGGGGAGTTTCTGATGTGAAAAGGAGATTCTGATGTAAAAAGGGGTCTTCTGATTTGAAAATGGGGACTGTAATGTAAAAGGCTCTGATATGAAAGGGCAGATCCTAATGTGAAGTGGGGAGCTTCTGATGTAAAGGAGGGCATCTAATTTGAAGGCAGGCTTCTGATATGAAGGGGGATCCTAGTGTGAGGTGGGGAGATTCTAATATGAAAGGGGAGACTTCTGATTTGAAGAGGGGCTTCTGATGTAAAGGTGAGATTCTGATATAAAGGGGGGCCCTCATGTGTAAAAGGGACTCTTATGTGAAGGGGGAGCCCGAAATGTTTTTTTTGTTTTGTTTTTTTTGCATGGATTTCCCCCTTAGAATCCATACCAGACCCTTACTTAGGATAAGGGTCTGCTATGGATTTTGGGGGGACCACACATTGTGTTTTACATTTGTTTGTTTTTTTTACATTATCTTCTTTTTATTCCAAAACAGGTCAAACATATTTCAAATAAACAGACACCAGACTTACTGCAGTGAATTTATTAAAAGAGTAATGAATGTTCACTTTTCAGACTGATTGTTCACAAAGCTTAATCAATAACGAGAAGCAGTGTTTACTTCAATTGATTAGTCAAGTAAGGGACAATATCCTGTTTTTTACACTTTACCCTGCAAATGACTGGGTATTCAAGGTAAACTCTGCTTCACTTTATTCACCTAGCTAAGTAAACATTCACTTTGCAGAGTAAGTATTCTTTATTCCTTTAACAATCAAATCAACCATATTTCCTACAATGCAGAAATGTAATATACTTCAGCTTACTAGTCCTTTGGTGTGGTGGCTGCATTAGTTTTTCTTTTCAGGCTACTTTTAGCATGTACAGAAAATACATTTTGATTTTGACAGAAATGTAGTATCCTTGTATCCTTGTCACATCCTGTGAGCTTAACAGAAAGAGGAAAACAATTCAATCAAATCCAGCCTGGACGACAACAGCCTGTTGGTTATGGGTTTTAATGAAGTACTGAGATATTGAGATATGCTGAATTAAGTTTTACTTGCTTATAAGGATATTACATGTGTGTATACAGCATCATGCAGGAAACATATATAGATAGGAAAACTTCCTGTATACCATAGATGAGCAAGTACAGAGACTAGCATTGCACTGCCATCTACAGCTCAAAAGACAGTATATGCTGTTGCATTTCCAACAGTTACATGGGCTTTTGGAGTGGTAGCACCCTCACTGGTCGAAAGTGGAACCATGTGGACACTGAGGCCTCGAGAGCGTAAGTATAAAAGCACTCCCGCCAAGGGCTAGGGCCTGATAATGGAAGCGCAGGTTATGTGAGAACCAATTAGACATAAGAAATCCTGTGGGTAAAGTTGTTGGCCTCTGGGACAGGAGAACTTGCTTAACAACTCCAGTCACCAGAAG